CCCCCCCCTCCCCATAGGCACGCACGCGCGCGAGTGGATCACACCGGCCGCCGCGCTGTACGTCTGCATGCAGCTCGTGGAGCGCTTCTACAGCCACCCGCACCTCGTGCTGGACGCCGACTGGTACATCCTGCCCGTGCTCAACCCGGACGGCTACGAGTACGCGCACGCCCGCGACCGCCTGTGGCGCAAGTCGCGGTCCTCGCACGAGGTGGCCGCGGGCCTCCGCGACGGCGGCGGCCCTGGCGGCCTGGGCCTGGCGCGCCTCGCCTCGCTCTTCCACAAGCACAAGCGCGGCCCGTGCTCCGGCGTCGACCTCAACCGCAACTGGGAGCACAACTGGGGGGACCGCGTGGGTGCCTCGGACGACCCCTGCAGCGAGAGCTACGCCGGGCCGCGACCCTTCTCCGAGCCCGAGACCAGGGCCGTCGCCGCCTTCATCTCTCGCCGGCGCGAGCGCGTCCAGGTGAGTCAAGCTCTCCATTTTTCTAGTGTTTCTTCATCCTTTCTATAATTTTTCTAATTTTTCCGTTCTTTTTCGAGTTATATAACGATTTTTCATTTCTGTTTCTGAAATGTTTCTGATTATCATTTAAATTATTAAAACTAGGTAAACATTTGATACTTTTATGTGAGTGAATAATTATCACCACCGGTTGTGATATTTCGTGTCGGCAGCTGTTCGTGACGCTGCACTCGTACGGCCAGCTGTGGCTGATCCCGGACGGGGCGGGCTACGGCCGCCTGCCGGACCACCAGGAGCTCTACAACAAGGCCAAGCTGGCGGCCGGCGCCATGCGCCGCGTCCGGAACACGCGCTACCACATCGGCACCTCGCCCCGCGGCCCCTGCTGCGCGCCATGCGCGGCGGCGGCCTCCGGGGCGGCCGCTCGAGCGGGCAGCCATAGCTCCGTCCCCCGGCCCTGAGAGCCTGGCGCCGGGGCAACGACACGGTACAGAATGATTATGTTGTAGGCCTCCGGAAAATGTTGTAGGGTAGGAGGAAGCCCTGACATGTTTCCGAAAATTTTCTGGACAATGTCAGGAAAAGAAACGGAAAATTTCCGAGTAAAAATTGAAATTTTCCAAGATTTGGAAAGCCTTTTCT